CATGGCACTCTACCCAGGGGGATAGCTTGAGGCTCCGTCTAAAAAAAAAAAAAAAAAGGAAACACCATGTATTGTTGACCACATTAATTTCAAAGTAGTATTTTTAAAGTCCCTGGAATTTGGTTTGTGTCACTTTATATTGGACTGCCCTTGTATTTGCTCTTAGAAGCCTTTAGAACTGAAATGCTGAAATTTGAAACGTTTTTGATTAAATCAAAATAGACAAGCAACTACAGAGTAAGGTTCACACCCTAGTTCTTCTGAAACAAAAAACAAAAAATACCTACTTTTCACTGTCAGTCCTTCCCTAGGAGAAAAACAAGAGTGTTTTATTATTTTCTTTTTAATGGAGGATTTTGGTATGAGTATTGGACCTGAGTTAATTAAAACAGTCAGTGGATGGCACTATAATCATGTTCTGTTTCAGGGTTAATGAATATAAGAAACTGAGATTTTGGCTGTTCTATTTAGTATTTCTTTTTGGCTTCTTAGTATATATTAGCCGTGTTCATGCTAAATAATTCCATCTGTGGTTTTATTTAATAAATAAAGCTTTAAGGAAGATTGAAAAGTTTTAGGATGAAATACAGAATCAGCTCTCGTTTGACACTTGAATCTACTTTAGTGTTAAGTACTATTTCTAATTCATCAGTATTCTAGTTTTCTATTTCTGTTGCATGTTGAGACTGAGCTCTATAAAATCACACTCTGATAAGTATGAAATTATCAAATGTATAGGGAAGATGCTAAATCACTTTTGAACATTAACTTCAGTGCATCGTTTTCATGTTTTCCTCCTGTATATTATTAAACTTTGTTTCCTGAATTGACTTACACATTTATTTTAATTCTTACTGAATGATTAGTGTTGTAGATAGTGATTTTACTGTCCTACAGTTGTTTTTTCCTGAGCCTTTTGAGTCTTGGGACTGGACTGCTTATTGCTTCCATTACTAATGCCTTTTGGGAGTTGAAATTGTCTAGATTTTACATTGTAAATGGCATATAATATTCCGTTTTTAGGATATCTAAATTAAAGACATTGCCTGTGATAGCTTGAGGGAATATTTGAGGGCCTAATAAGGTAGCTGGTCATTCTTGTAGCTAAAACTTGGTGTGATAAACAGGAGTCTGACCTGGCCGTTGCCTTTTCTCATCTGCAGGTGTGTGTGGTTTCAGCGCAGCATGGCTGTGGTCATCCGTTTGCAAGGTCTCCCAATTGTGGCGGGGACCATGGACATTCGCCACTTCTTCTCTGGATTGACCATCCCTGATGGGGGCGTGCATATTGTAGGGGGTGAACTGGGTGAGGCTTTCATCGTTTTTGCCACTGATGAAGATGCAAGGCTTGGTATGATGCGCACAGGTGGTACAATTAAAGGGTCAAAAGTAACACTGTTGTTGAGTAGTAAAACGGAAATGCAGAATATGATTGAACTGAGTCGTAGGCGTTTTGAAACTGCCAACTTAGATATACCACCAGCAAATGCTAGTAGATCAGGACCACCACCTAGCTCAGGAATGAGTGGCAGGGTAAACTTGCCTACAACAGTACCCAACTTTAATAATCCTTCACCTAGTGTAGTTACTGCCACCACTTCTGTTCATGAAAGCAACAAAAACATACAGACATTTTCGACAGCCAGCGTAGGAACAGCTCCTCCAAATATGGGGGCTTCTTTTGGGAGCCCAACGTTTAGCTCAACTGTTCCAAGTACAGCCTCTCCAATGAACACAGTCCCACCGCCACCAATTCCTCCAATCCCAGCAATGCCATCTTTGCCACCAATGCCGTCCATTCCCCCAATACCAGTTCCTCCTCCAGTACCTACATTGCCTCCTGTGCCTCCTGTGCCCCCAATTCCCCCAGTCCCTTCTGTGCCACCCATAACCCCACTGCCACCCATGTCGGGCATGCCACCCTTGAATCCACCACCTGTGGCACCTCTCCCTGCTGGAATGAATGGCTCTGGAGCACCTGTGAATCTGAACAATAACCTGAACCATATGTTTCTGGGTCCATTGAATCCTGTTAATCCTATCCAGATGAACTCTCAAAACAGTGTGAAGCCACTTCCCATCAACCCTGATGATCTCTACGTCAGTGTGCATGGAATGCCCTTTTCTGCCACAGAAAATGATGTCAGAGATTTTTTCCATGGGCTCCGTGTTGATGCAGTACATTTGTTGAAAGATCATGTAGGTCGAAATAATGGGAATGGATTGGTTAAGTTTCTCTCCCCTCAAGATACATTTGAAGCTTTGAAACGCAATAGAATGCTGATGATTCAACGCTATGTGGAAGTTAGCCCTGCCACAGAAAGACAGTGGGTAGCTGCTGGAGGCCATATCACTTTTAAGCAAAATATGGGACCTTCTGGACAAACACATCCACCTCCTCAGACAGTTCCCAGGTCAAAATCGCCCAGTGGGCAGAAAAGGTCAAGGTCAAGATCACCACATGAGGCTGGGTTTTGTGTTTACTTGAAAGGGCTACCATTTGAAGCAGAAAACAAACATGTCATTGATTTTTTTAAAAAGTTGGATATTGTGGAAGATAGTATTTACATAGCTTATGGACCCAACGGGAAAGCTACTGGTGAAGGCTTTGTAGAGTTCAGGAATGAGGCTGACTATAAGGCTGCTTTGTGTCGTCATAAACAGTACATGGGCAATCGCTTTATTCAAGTTCATCCAATTACTAAGAAAGGTATGCTAGAAAAGATAGATATGATTCGAAAAAGACTTCAGAACTTCAGCTATGACCAGAGGGAAATTATATTAAATCCAGAGGGGGATGGCAACTCTGGCAAAATCTGTGCCCATATAACAAATATTCCATTCAGCATTACCAAGATGGATGTTCTTCAGTTTCTAGAAGGAATCCCAGTGGATGAAAATGCTGTACATGTTCTTGTTGATAACAGTGGGCAAGGTCTAGGACAGGCATTGGTTCAGTTTAAAAATGAAGATGATGCACGTAAGTCTGAACGCTTACACCGTAAGAAACTTAATGGGAGAGAAGCTTTTGTTCACATAGTTACCCTAGAAGACATGAGAGAGATTGAGAAAAATCCCCCAGCCCAAGGAAAGAAGGGATTAAAGATGCCTGTGCCAGGTAATCCTGCAATACCAGGAATGCCTGGTGCAGGATTGCCTGGTGCTGGACTGCCCGGTGCTGGAATACCTGGTGCAGGACTGCCCGGTGCTGGAATGCCCGGTGCAGGAATGCCTGGTGTGGGAATCCCTGGTGCGGCAATGCCCGGTGCGGGACTGCCTGGTGCAGGACTACCCGGTGCAGGAATGCCCGGTGCAGGAATGCCCACTGCAGGAGGTGAAGAGCATGCCTTCCTGACTGTTGGATCAAAGGAGGCCAACAATGGGCCTCCATTTAACTTTCCTGGTAGTTTTGGTGGGTCAAATGCCTTTGGGCCACCACTTCCTCCTCCAGGATTAGGAGGGGCCTTTGGTGATGCTAGGCCCAGTATGCCTTCAGTTGGAAACAGTGGTTTGCCTGGTCTAGGACTGGATGTTCCAGGTTTTGGAGGTGGACCAAGTAATTTAAGCGGGCCAACAGGATTTGGAGGGGGCCCTCAGAATTTTGGAAATGGCCCTGGTGGTTTAGGTGGTCCCCCAGGTTTTGGAAGTGGCCCTCCTGGTCTTGGAGGTGCCCCTGGGCATTTGAGTGGGCCACCAGCTTTTGGGCCTGGGCCCGGGCCTGGGCCTGGCCCAATCCATATTGGTGGTCCCCCTGGCTTTGGATCTAGTTCTGGAAAACCAGGACCCACAGTAATTAAAGTTCAGAACATGCCCTTTACCGTGTCTATTGATGAGATTTTAGATTTCTTTTATGGTTATCAAGTAATCCCAGGCTCAGTGTGTTTAAAATACAATGAAAAAGGTATGCCCACAGGTGAAGCCATGGTGGCCTTTGAGTCTCGGGATGAAGCTACAGCTGCTGTCATTGATTTAAATGACAGGCCTATAGGCTCAAGAAAAGTAAAACTTGTATTAGGGTAGCCATTCATATAAATTCTTTATAGATCTTCATATTGCTGTGATTAATGCATCCAGATTGTTTAGTATTTCCAGGTTAGAACCTGTGGATTGTTTCATTTGCATATAGATTGGTTTCCATAACATAGAGCATTGGTTGACTGTTTATAGAAGACTCACTACAGGATAAACGTTGCTATATGTTACAGTAAAGCTATCTGGAGAGAACACAAAAATGATTTTGGCATACCATTAGAGAAAACATTTGTAAAACTCAAATGACCACATGAAGCTTATCAAGGAGTCTAGATTGGTTTTGTTTTATACCATATGGGATGAAGAAAATAGAAAGTAGAGCTCATTGAGGGTGTGGCTCTTGCCAGCTGCTGAAAAATAGAAGTTGGCTACTTGGAATTTGGTTTAAAGCTGGACAGATTTGATTTGTTATAGGGTAAAACTTTGTCTAAAGTCTTCATTTTCTTTAAAAGTTGAATAAAATCTCTGTATACAGATTCATTGTATGTACCTTTATTGCTTCTTGAGGGTTCTTGCTGTATAGACAGTCCTGCTTCAGAAGTTGCTGCTTTGTTTGCCTAATTGACTCATTTGTAAATGAGCAGAACTGTTTTGTTGCTATTTTTTCCTAAATACAAAACTCCACACGTGGTATTGTGCTACAATTTTGAACTTTGATTTCTAATGTCATACTTAGAACTGTGTGGAATAAGACTTCTGTCATAAAAATAAACTATAGAGTCCTCTACCTGCCAGAGCCTTTTTGGTTTGACCGTCAAGTTTTAGTTTAGTGGGTTTAAAAAGTGTTCATGTTGTTTGAATAGCATCAAAAACCAGAAACCACTTCTAATAATAAGCGTTTAAGATGCTTGATTTGAAGCCCAGTCTATGTTGGACTAATTGCTGTAACAATTTTCCTTTGTTCCAATGTATATGAAATTTTGGCCTTTAAGAAAACAAAGGGGTCTCTTAATAAGAGCATCGTTACATCCAGGTTTTTTTTTTAAACTGAAGTTGAAGTTGTTAGCTTTGTTAGCAGTAGTATTAGAGAATAAAAGATCTAAGCTGGTTCATAGATTGATAATGTGTTAATCCTCTTAATTGGAGACTTTTTGGCGTAGTTGTTTGATTAGGAGCCTGTGTACAAAAATTCTTAATGCAGAGGACAAGTGCAGCTGCCAGAGGGGAGCAAATTGGAACTCCTTGCCCTTTTATACTATTTTCTTTGGCATTTAGGACACTAGGGCAGGAGGAGCACAATAGGTTCTGGTTGGTAAGTGTCCTTGTCATGAAAACTTTGCTTTACAGTGTCCTGTTTATTGCCACAAAAGGCTCTAATTAGAGTTACTTTCCTTAGTTAGAATGCTCTAAAGATGTGTCACATATTATCATAAATATACAAAATGGGAGATTGGTGAGATATCATGAAAAAACAAACTGTCTTTTACACAATCCTCTTGCTTTGGTTTGAAACATCCCCAACCTTTCCTACAAATCAGTGTATTTACAGAAGGGTCAGCCTTTTAAAAGAAGTATTTCCTATTAAAAAAAAAATTATATATATATATATAGTGCCTTTTTGGTATTGCAAGTTAGTGGGACACTGAAATACAGCGTTGCGTCGCATAATTTGAGTGGCAACAGTTTTCATTTGTGTGATAAGAGTTGGAAAGCCTTTTGATCACTACACGCAAAGAATTGACAGTACAGGATTTTCGCTTAAGGAAGGGATTGTTTAGATTCAAAGAAGAGGTAGCTGCACTGTGGGTCTTTTGATAATGAATACAAATTTGCTTTGACACAGATCATTAGATCCTGCCTTCTCAACTTAAAAAGCGTTATGATGTTTGTATGTACTGTTCAATTTAAGTTTTGTTAAGTAATCACTTTTCATTCCAAAGATAATGCAAAAAACTTCAGTGCTGCTTACGAGTCTTATTTCAACCACAGATATTTTCCCCATTGGAAAGCTGACTATTTTCATTTTAGAAAAATGGGTTGTTTAAAGATGAAACTCTTTTTTTTTTTTTTTCACAATTTATTTTGGTTATATGTTCGTAATTCTTATTAAATATTTCATATACTTTATTGCAACTGCTTTGTTATTTCTACATCTTAGATAAATGCTGAAAAGGAAAACTTGATTGCATTGTTCATTGAATTAATAAATTAAGAAAATAGTGGTTTGTGTAGACATTGGAGAGAACTGTGTTTCATATTTCATTGAATCACAACAGTACTTCTCGTTGTGAAATGTAATTAAATATTTTGCCCTCTGGAACTTGATTTTTGTGTATCTGAGACTTATTAACATAGTGCTAACTGGCATACTGTTTATCTTGTTCTGGGCATTGGAGTTTCGGTTTAAAAAATATTCTTGAAAACTGTGTTCTGTGAAACTATTCATACCTTTCTTCCTACAAATTTTCTTCTAGGAAATAGGTTTGGGGTGACAATGAATTTGCATTATTTTCTCACTTTGTATGGTATGAAGGATTTGTAAAGCTTTGCTCAAAGTTGTGTGCATTTGTAAACATCATGATATTTTCAATTTTATGTGTAAATTTTATTGTCTATTTTTGGTGACATTAATGGGAGAGAATCTTTTCCATTAGGTTTAATTTTTTTTCCTTTTCCTTCTGAGTTTTATTGGTGTTCATTTTTCTTTTGGTTTAAAGGATTAGAAAAATCAAATGTATTTTATAAATAAGCAAATTTGTAACTTTTCTGAACTTCAGTGAAATATTTAGTTCACAGCATAATTTGGAGTTGTGTTCTGTGTTTACACAGTAGTTTGGATGTACAATTACTAGTGGCTTTAAAAAAAAAATTACACAGTGTTAAATAAGTGAAATATAATTCCTGGCTTTGTACTCCCAAGTTGTCAAAGCACCAACGATGAAAATTCCATTAGGGAACTTTAATTCAAAATTTCTGATAATAATATTCAGTATAGCTAAAGTCAGTGCTAACCCACTGAATGAAAATCTAAGACGGCATGGAAGTAAGCAAACATACACATTTTTAGGTGGAAATACCTCACATAAAAACCAAACTTTGACTCCTTTTTACTGGATTCTATAATTGTGTACAAGTGTGGGCCAAGTTAAACGTAAAACACAGTCATCAGTTTTAAGAACACTTGATAAACAAGAAAATGTATAATTGCTGCTAGTCAAATATTTTGGAAAGAATTTCTGATGGTGGACAATTTAAAAGTTATTTCCCACCTTTGCAAAATTGCCACATTAAATTGTTGTACTGGCAGTTCTACACTAGTCCAGACTTCAGAAACCAAACAAGATAAAATGGCTCCTTGCCATTGTGGCCACATCATTGCCAGCAAATACTACCTTGGCAGCATTCAGGAAAGGTTTTTGTTTATAAAGATGAAGTCTTGAATACTGTTCAATAAACTTGTCACAAAATAAAACAGGCTGATGCTTTTAATGCTTTAATTGCACAAAAGTACTTCAATGAGCTACAACATTACCACATTTTTAAAAAACTCCTGAAAATATGTACCTTTGGAAAGGTGGATTTGGTGATCTTGGAAGTAACAATGGTTGGTGGTTGTCCTTGTCTTCTAATGCTGAAGTGTGAAAAGAAGAGGATACCTGAAACGGCAGGGAGGAAACTTGATTCTAGGTCAAGTCTGTGGTATCTACACCTTTTTAGAATTTTATTTATGTGTGTGTGTTGCTGGCAAACTATTTTATGTGGACACAAAGAACCAGGTGCTCCTTTTTACAGGAATTTTAAACAAGTTTGTGAATTATGTTTAAAATTGATTACATTAGGGAATGGGAAAAGAAATCTTCAGAGTATTATAGATTTTCAATTGTATATACCTCTAAAGGTTTTTGTTTTTTGTTTTTGCATTAGTATGTGAGGTACTAGAAGTGGGGAAGAAAAAAGAGGAATCAAATACTGCTGCTTTCTGACATTGATGCTGTGATTTTTGTCTCTTCTATATGTGTTCAACTTGTAAAAAAAGCAAGTCTAGAGTCCTTTAAAAAAGTCTAGAGTTGTAGTGAAACTAGTAGGCTGTACCTTATAACCAAAGCTCTTAAAAAATACTTAAAATTTTTATCATTAAAGAGTTTAGCTTGTATTTGAGCTTAAATCCTAGCTTGTTTTAGAGAGTGTTAGGCTAGATGATTAGGTGTACATAATGCAAGGTGCTAGTGGAGCCATTTTAAAATAATTAAGGTTTGAGTAAGTGTTGGAAAAATCACTGAAAACCAGCTGCCTATATCTGCAATGGCCTTTACCATCTGAAAGGGGTGAACTTTGTGGTAATATGTTTCCTTTTCTTCAGGAGAGATCACGTGTATAATTTGTAGTTTATCTTTATTTTTTAATTTAATTTTTTTCAAAAACTAAAGTGCAGTAGTGAGGAGGAGGGAGAGTAGAACAAGGAGTTTGATCTGTAAATTGACTGAACAACCAGTTGAGGTAACTCACTACCTCTGGACCAGCCAATAGTTTATTAATTATGGGCATCATTGCTGTTTTCCCAAAGGTAGAGTTTTTGAAGGATATGGTAGAATCTTAAATTTAATGACCTTCCTTTCTTATTACAAAGTAGTTTGATTTGTTTCATCTTTTTAGTATAAAATCTGATAGAGCACATTGACTTTAAATGTTCTGGAAAGTGTATACTTGATTAGTGTAATTCTCTGATGCTATAGTTGACTTTTCTGGGAAAACCCATCTGTTCAGCAACATTTGTTCATCTCCTATTGGTGCCCGCTCAGGTAAATGTTAATATTTTACTGTGCTGTTCCTGGATTTATTCTTGGTGTTTTGAGCTATTTTGTGTCCCAGAGTCTTGACAGCATCCTAGACTAATATGACTTCTTTTCTGGATCAACATAACTAAAAATGAGCAACCACGGTGGCATGATTTTCTACATATTGCTGTACTCCTGAAGAGTCCAGAAGGAGTAAAAAGCCACCTGATATGGACATTTCAGCCCCATGGACAGAAGGGCAGCACTCTAAAAGTCTGGGGGCAAATCTCATTAACTGTATCCCTTGAATTCTGTCACTGGACTGACTTCCAGTGAAAATGCTGATGGTTAGAGTTTATAGAATCCGCAAACAGTTGTATAGATATGGTAAATGACACAGCAGAGCATTGGAATTGGCAACACAGTTCCAGACATCTGGATTTTAACCTTAGTAACTTAATAATTTCAAGTCACTTTTATTATAAATCAACTGATGGCTTGCCATTTCATGTTGAGAGAAGGAATTGACTATTTGGGGGAAATGGAGCAATGACCAGGAAAACATAGTTCAATGTGAACAGAGTCAAAGGTGTTAAGTCAACTTAACTCTACCCAGGAGTGGTGCTTTATTTTCAAATAGACTACCTTTGGTGTTTCATTTCCTTCAATCTGCAGCTACTAGTTTTTTCCTTTTGCCTGCTTATATAGTAAATGTGCTGGTAACTGGGACTAGGAGACTCTTTTGTACTAAAGTCCCCAATCTACTGTCTCTAGCTTCATAATGTTTGGAAAATAAGTGAATAAGACTTCTCACTTGTGAATTTGTGCTTCATATCAAATGGTAACAACCACATTGAACTACCACAAATCACCTGTTAGTCTTTACGGAGTGAGAGTGATTTAAGAAGGGTGAAATAAAGAAATTCAGCTATTTAGGGGTTTTAAATCATACCAACTGGTGTGCTACTGATTTCCTCATCTTTCTTTTCTACTTGAAAGTTTGAGACGG